GGTCGAAGAAGACTCCCTCTTGAGATGGTTCGTCGAATTGGATGACGCCATAAGGGCGCGTCGCATCGACGATGGGGAAATGCAAGTTGCATTTGCCCAATCGAATCTGGCAGGACGTGCCAAGACTTGGGCACTGGGGCTCAAGTTGCACGACCCATATGCGTTTGGTTCGTTAGAAGTCTTCAATTCGCGGTTCAGACAAACGTTTGAACCGCCTAGAGCTGAGTTCAGAGCTCGAACCGAACTCTTGAAGCTCAAGCAGGGTAAGCGTGATGTGCACGCTTACGCACAACATATACGACATCCCACGAGTTGTACAAGTTCCAACCTGGTTGATGAACACACGTTGGTTTCGGTGCTCATGCAGGGTCTTGCGGATGGTCCCGTCAAGACTCACCTGTTCCGACTTGAACTAGATTCACTAGAACAAGCCATTTATATTGCGGAACAGGAAGACTTCAGTCTGAGACAGGCTCGCGCCAGCTCGACATCATATCGTCAACCGAGACGATATGACAACGGAGGTCCAGAGCCGATGGAACTCTGTTATGTAGAGAGCGAGAAGGCTCGCTCTACAGACTACAAGAAGTTGCAGAAATGAAACAGATGTCAAAAGACAGGACACTACGCTTACGAGTGTAGTGCCTCTCGTCCAGTGTCTCGCAACAATGGGCGTAGTGACCGTCCACCCATGAGAAAGGGGCAGGGACGCGGGTCCGCTGTTGGTGCAAAGACGCAACAACGGGATGGACCGTCAAAAAATGGACAGGATCAGTAGGTGCGGAGCACCCTACTGGTCCAGCAACGTCAAGAGAATTTGTAGGCCTCTTGATGAAGGTTGCTCCTAACACACAAACGTTGTGCTTTACTGCTCTAGGTAATGAGATCTCACTCATTACCTTGAAACTCAAAGTGACAAATAAGTTGTCCCTTCGAGCTCTTGTCGATTGTGGGGCGTCCAACAATATTGTACGACACCAATTGCTAGAAGATGGTCACTTTAAGTTTAGTGAATGTGACACACCTCCTACGAGGATGACGGTACGTCTTGCGACAGGCGCATCCGTAACCGTCATGAAGCGTATAGTGAAGATTCACTATACGCTAGAAGATACCCAATATGACGATGTCTTTATCGTATTGGATTTGGATGAAAAATTTAATATCATCCTTGGAATACCATGGCTCAGAAGGTACGAACCACGGGTAAACTGTCAACATCGAGCAGTAACGATACCTGCCGCTTGTTCATCAGATGGCCATCTGATGAACGTTTTGGAGCGTCCACAAGCGTGTGGATGTACTACGAGTGAGTGCAATGGCCTCACTTGTGGTACGGTCGTTAGTACGACTGCACAAAACCTTAGTGTACCAAACGGTTACACTTCGGAGCAAAGTTCCGGCGGCTTTGACGAAACACAGGCTGCGCCGAAGGTCCACCACTCTAATAAGTTGAGTGAACCGGGACAAAGATGTATCCCTAGCGGGGAACATCTAGAAGAGAAACAATCGATCGCTCAGGTTAAGCGAAACGATAATCCTAGATCGGCTGGATAGTCTTTCGTAGAGGATCTCGCTGTGGTTGCGCAACCCCAGCTAGAGGAAAGTTAAGGGAATAAGTCCCGATATTACAAATACGGTGGAAATAAGTTCCCCGAAACCCGCGGGAATAAGTCCTCGGGAAGCTGAAGGAATAAGTCCTTCGAGGCCTGAGGGAATAAGTCCCCAGGAAATGACAGAGACATTGAATGTCATAGTCAATGACGGATCAAGGGTAGGCGCGCACACACTTGATCTGATTCCGCCTCCGAAGTTAACTTCGGAGATCACGCAAGATCCTTTTATGCTCGAGCGTTGCCAGTTGCCAACGCTCGAACATAAAAGGTTCTTGCGTGATCTGCGTAGTGACAAAGTCAAGCAGAACTGCGTACTCGTCGCTGACGACGAGTGTGTAACCGACGCAAGGTCAGCAACAATGTTTACTGAGAACGAGAGAGTTCTCGGTAGTTCATCGATGGACGAGAGTGTCCTAGATGAAAAGACACGAGTTGAGCGATATGAATCCCAATCGTGGGAATTGCTCAAGACAAATCCTCTCTATGAAGATTTGGTTGAATCCAAGGATGTATTCCCTGAAACTGTTCCGTGCGAAGTACCGAAGGATAAAGGTACTTGACACGAGGTCGAGCTTAAACCAGGCTCGTAGTAGTATGTCATGAAGCAGTGGCCACTGCCTCGTGAACAAGTACTTGCGATCGACAAGTTCTTTGCCGATCGTTTAGCTGCGGGACATGTGATGGAATTAACTTTCCCACATAGCTCTCCGACCTTCTGTGTGCAAAAAGCAACAGGAGGGTGGCGGATAGCGCATGCATTTAACAAGCTGAATGCTGTAACGGTACCGGCTCAGACGCCGATACCAAGGAAGGACGTAATCATTGATGGTATGTCAAAGAGTACCATCTTTTCGTCCATGGATTTGATGGATGGCTGATATCAAATCCTTATGCGAGAACGGGATATACCCTATACCGCAGTTAGCACGCCTAGCGGCATGCTCTGGGAATGGCTAGTAATGCCATAAGGGCTTAGTAATGCCCCTGCCACTTTCAACAGATGTGTATCACATCTGTTGAGACCAGTACGAGAATTCACGCCGAGATATTTCGATGACGTATTCATCCATAGTCGGGCTATGGGTGGAAAGTCGGATGTTGAGGTTCACAGGTACCACGTCCGACAGGTTCTTACAATCATGCGAAAGCATCAATTGTATGCAAACCTCAAGAAGTGTATTTTTGCAGCAAGCAAAATACCACTTCTTGGGTGCATCGTTGGTAAGAACGGTGTACGTCCTGATCCCGAAAAGATCAAGGCGATCGCCGACTGGCCTGTGCCGGTTGATGTCAAACGTCTTCGAAAATTCGTTGGGCTAGCGGCGTATTTGCATAAGTATTCACGCAATTACGCCGAGATGACTCTGCACCTCTCTCGTTTGTTGAAAAAGAACGAGAGGTGGTTATGGAACGCTGAATGTCAGCCCTCCTTTGATGGTATCAAGCAGAGCTTGATACAATCCCCACTCCTAGCAATTGCTGATCAGGACAGGCCATTTCATGTGGTCTGTGATGCCAGCGATTTCGCAATCGGCTGTGCATTAATGCAGTACGATCTTGAAGGCGCTGAACGCGTCGTCTGCTATCAGTCGCGTCAGCTGCAACCAGCTGAGCGGAACTATCCAGTGCATGACAAGGAACTCCTTGCCATGAAGTATGCACTAGCGAAGTTCAGAGTCTATCTATTAGGAGATAGACCCTTCATTGTTTACACTGACCATGCGTCATTACGCACGGCAGTGAACAGCCCGCACCTTTCACAACGAATGGCGCGGTGGTTGTCATTCTTTGCAGAATACAACTTTACGGTAGAGTACAAACCAGGACGACTTGATGTCGTCGCCGATGCACTCTCACGTCGTCCCGACTCTGAACCAGTCGTGAAACCCAACAGTGAGACAGTCATTGTTGCGGTTATGACGTAGTCAGTCCCATCTTCAACGTTGAATGATGATGTGAGGCGGGCATACGCCCAAGATGGTGAGATTGTGAAGTTGTTGACACATCTCACACAGCCATCTTGAGAATTGTTGAAATGATTGTCGTCTGCGTATCGATCTGCATCAGATCGATACACTACTCGCAACGGCTTACTGTATTATACAGCCGTTTCTGGTGACACACCACTTGTTGTCATTCCAGATGATACTGATCTGCGTTTGCGGATCATGTTCGAGTATCACGATGCTCCTATCGGATGACATCGTGGCCGAGAGAAAACATATCTCACGATGATTCGAGACTTTTACTGGCCCCGCCAGTATCAGTTTGTGTGAAAGTATGTTCGCGCATGCGAAGTCTGCCAACGAGTGAAGTCAAGTCCTTCACTGCGTGCACCTTTACAGCCTCTACCGGTTCCGGCTGAGTGCTGGGAATCCATCTCAATGGATTTTGTCTTCGGGTTACCCAAAGACGCACGCGGGAATACGGGTATTCTCGTATTTGTTGACAGATTCAGCAAAATGGTACACCTTGTGGCTGTACCAGAGTCAATCACGGCAAGTGGCTGTGCTTGTGTCTTTATTGACACCATCTTCCGACTTCGTGGGTTGCCCCGTGAACTCGTATCAGACAGAGATCCACGATTCACTGCTGATTTCTGGCGTTCCGTGTTCAAATCACTCGGAACGCGCTTGAAGATGTCTACATCTGATCATCCAGAGTCAGATGGTCAGACGGAACGTGCCAACCGTGTCCTTGAACAGATACTTCGAGGATACGTACACTCCTTTAAGAGTTGGAGTGAGTTTTTGCCAATGGTAGAGTTTGCCATCAACAACTCGGTGCATGCGTCCATGACACATACACCGTTTTATGTGGATGGCTTACGCCATCCGAGTGTACCCACCTTACTAGAGTGTAACTCTGGTTTAAGGGGGAAAGGGACTCGCGCGAGCAAAAACCGATTTGGTTCACGCTCATCACGCTCTGACGAAGAGGTCATTGCGTTTGATGCCGATATCGATAACATCGATATCGAAGAAGATGATGCCAGTGAGAGTGCGGAAGCCCTCACTGGAGAAAAGGTTGATGTTGCTGCAGTGCACTCACAGCGCAATGAAGCTAACGAGTCACCAGATGAGTTCATACTGGCTCGTGAAACGGTAGTCCGTTTTGTGAAAGACTCCATCGCCGAAGCGGTGGATAAGCAAAAGCAAAACGCTGACAAGAATGGAAGGGCAAACACTCTTTTATTTAATAAAGGTGACTTAGTCCTACTGTCTACGGTTAATCTACCAAAGCGTGTAGTGAATAACTTGGGTAGCGGTAAACTTTTACCCAAGTACATCGGCTCATTTCGTGTATTGCACCGCCTAGGCAATGCATACACGATCGAGTTGCCACGTAAGATGCGAACGTATCCCACGATTTACGTTGGTCGGCTTAAGCCGTACCATCAGTACGCTGCTTCTTCCGATAAAGAACTCCCTTGCGCTCAAGCATCTCGCAGAGAGCCTTGTGCTCCCGATGGTGGGCATCGACAAGGGTCTGAAGAGCAGCTATCTCAGCTCGAGACCGATCAACAATTCCACGAGCAACCCTTATCTCGCCACGCAGAGACTTAAGAGCTCTCTCGTTCTCAAGCTGAGCAAAGGCAAACTTAGCTCGATGCTTCAAGACAGTGTCCGCCAGTTGGAGACGCCTGTCCCGCTCATGTTCGAGATCGCCGCGTAACCCTTGCGTTACGCGATCAAAGAAGCTCTCGGGAGCACACGCTTCCCCACAATTGTGTGGAGAGCGTCTTCCCTCCTCCTCTACCTCCATTAGAGGACTCTCGCGGTGGCCAGAGCTATCTGGTTGAGCAGCTGTTGAACTACCACGACGTGAACGGACGTCGGACGAGTTATCTCGTCCGGTGGCGCGGCTATCCCCCGTCCTGGGATTCTTGGGAGCCCCGCTCCCAACTGATGATTGACGTACTGGGTCTGGTTGAGCAGTACGACGCGGCACATCCTGTGCCGTAGAAGGACCGCCGGAGAAAGTCTTCCCGGCACGGTCGTAAAGGGATTTCAGGTTGTCAATCCCTTCGTACATCTCAGTAGAGATACGTACGCGCCATCACGGGCTGGTAAGGAGGTAAGCCTCCTTAGGTGCTCGTGCAGAGTTGTTTACACAACATGGGCACGAGTCTCCCCATGAGAGGCAGGGTAATCCTTTCTCCCTTGACAGACGATGTAGCTTGTAGCGTGCACCTGTCGGGGTTCTATTCTCAAACTTATCACGAGCTTTGATAAGTTTGTCGTTCCAAGCGTCACGACCTACATCCTCAAGGTTATGGATGTAAGCGCTCCACACTTGAAGCAGTGAGGGACCATCACGTTTGTGATTCCCACTGTGCCATCGATGTTTAAAGAAAGCATCGATGAAGAACTCATGTTCAGCGCGATAGTCTTTCGCACTGGGGTCAAGGTAATGGATCCTCGACGAATCGAACAACTGTGTTCGATAACGATCACTCGTCGTCGCCGACAAGTGATCCATGACGGATTTTGGAGGCATCCATGCCTTCCCCCCGGGAGCGAGCCGCAACACACTGCGGTCCCGCTCTTCCTGCGACGTGCCGACAGAAGGACTGGTACCTCGCTGCGAAGTGGTGTCAATAGGAGAACCGACACCGCTGAGAGCGCCCGAGTCTCGCGACCTCGAGCGCCTTCGCTTCGGCGATGGTTCATCTGACTCATCAGATAAACCAAAGATGCTACTATGCGTAGCATCATCCATACCACGCTTGGCAGGCGGCTTGGATTCGATCGCCGTCGATACGGATCCATCTTCCGTATCAGGAGAGTATGAGACACCGAGCTCATACTCTATGAAGACATGAGTGTCTTCATGACGAGCGTCTGCATCACCAGGTGATACAGGCTGAGTTGCTTCAGCAACCGATGAGACATCAGTTGCTGTGGTTTCTGCTTCGGCGTCCGCACAGAGACGTGCGGACGCGCTCTCGGCGGCCTTGCTCGCGCATCGCATGGGCTGTTAACCATGCGATGAATTGTTGGAAAGTGGAATCGGACCAACAAGTGCAAACCCTGTCCCAAATGATTTGGGACGAGTATCCATTTAGTCAATCATTCACTAAAGTGACTGATGGTAAAGGGGGGGTGATGTAACGAGGTGAATCGTTACATAACAATTTATAAGAAATTGTTAATAGAATATAACTATAAGAGTTATGTTCTCAGAAGATTGTCATAAGGACAAATATTCTGTAGCACTTACGAGTAGTTCCTAATTGGTTGATATAGTCCATTATATCAACCAACGAAGACGCGCCACGACAGACGCACGCAATGAGTGGTGAGCAGATAGTTGATGTGAACTTTTGTATTCAGAAATAGTTAGATGAGGATAAATAGTGATTTGTTAACAGACATTAACTATGCTAAATACAGTTCTACTTTTTACTTTAACCAAGTACTCGCTTCTTCTTACCGTCTTCCTCTGCACGTACCAGTGTACGTGAAGTTACGAGGCACCGCCTTATTCTGTCATCAGAAAAAGTAGCTTGTACTGTTACCAGTACAAGCTTCAGGGTGCCCCGTTACAATAGGTCTTGTCTGGACCTGTTTCATTATAAAAAAGTTCACTTTTCAGGCGATAAAGCGTCTGCACTATAGTATGGAAGGTTTCTATTATATGTGGAGCTCTTTTTCAGGGCGCAATACCCCCTTAATACGACATCTTAACTTTTACGAGTCTTATCTACTCGTTGTAATTTTAACAAGAGATTATCTTCTGGTTCGCCAGCTACTCAAGCCCGTCGATACGTTAACGACGTATGTCAGCCTCGGATGGTCACCAAAGTGTACGATTATTCTATAGCTGGTAGTAGCCGAGTGATCACCCTCAAACATTGAGAAAACAGACGTAGAATAGCACGGCATGCCCGCATCAAAATAGGTAACCGTCGAGCCATCATCTCGAATGACTCAGTCCTGACATTCATGTGTCGTCGTTGTGTGAGCAAGTAAAGCCCCTGGCTACAAATCGCAAAACAGAAGTTACGGGAATGTGCACAGGATAGAGCGACATAACGACGTAATAATGCCTGCGCGTGGCTCTCGATGCCGTGGACCTGTTAAGAATTGTTTAGATCTTCTTCGCAAATCACTTTGTCAATATACAAACTGACTTACATTGCCTTCTTCTGAATCAGCAGCAACATATCCAAACACCACCTCCCTGTCTCCAGGTCTCAGCTGTTACTTTGCAGCTCGCATAAAAGCATTTTAAGTATACCTCCGCCACCAAGACCATTTTTCAGCGAAATACAGCGTCCAGCAGCATCTTTTATTCACTTTCGCTATTGACCAGTAAATGCTCGTGTCTTTGGGCTCTCTCCTAGCAGCTTTTTGTTGTAATTCTTTGTTTTACAGTTCGTGTCGGTTTTCTTTAGGCGATTTAATGCCAAATAGTTTTAATCTTCGGCCACTTGGTCGGTGGATGATTCTCTCTTCATCCAGTTCACCATTATTTCTTCCCGCATGGCGTCGGATCGCTCCACACTCTTTCGTCTTTTAGATCACTTTGGTCCGGCTGTAGGACACCAATCCATCGCTATAGTACATTTTTTTCGCCAGTTCATTTACCAGTCCCATTAAATTACTTCCATCAATGACCTTGATGTACGACTCCAGTTCCTACAACAACCGTAAGTCTAGATATCGTAGACTTACACCTGATACTAAATCTTGACGAGAGATTCGTGACAACCTTTCCCAACACTGGTATAGCTTCGTAACAAGCACATCCATATCGCTTTTGCGGCAGCATCTTCGGATAAAGCGAGTCCTCCTGCAACTGATGCAGATAATTCATCGAAAATAATGATAACGGATGAATTTTGGTATTTTGTTAGCAAAAGGATTTTTCGATCGCCTGTCGCTTCACTACCTGCAGTTACTTGACCAATCCATTGCGAGGGTGTGCAAGTATGGCATTTCCAACACTGTGCTTGTGTCTCTACTCGAGGTCGAATGATAATTGTGCCAACTAGGTCAGATCCAAGCGAGAGAGCAGGTGCTCACCCTATAGCTGCGGAATGGAATGTCTCAGACTTAGACGGATGGGCATTGCCGACCAAATTTTCAACGTGCGAAACGGAACCTTCGACATCCGCAGTAATGGATGTTTCTTCTCCTTTCCTCTCCTTTTATTGTTTCATATACAAACTACCCAGTTTGCGGCCAAAAGTTACTCGCAATGAAGTATGATCTTGTCTAGTTCAGAGTCCATCTACTTGGCTCAAAACGTTTTGTGATCTTTACAGGACAGTCTTCATTATGCACTGCGACACAGTTGCCCCACCTCTCACATCGTATGGCCCGTTGGCTTTCATTATTCGCTGAATACAACTTCGAGGTGAAGTAAAAGACGGTCAAGCAAAACGATTTGGCTGATGCGTTGTCACACAGATCTGATTATGAGCTTGCTCATGTTACGACTCTATCGTCATCTATAGTATAATTTTTGATTCGTGCGGCATATGCACTTGATGAGCAATGTGTGGCATTTCTAATCTGATCTTGTAAGCGAGGAGTTTAAAGATATAGACATCAAGTTGTCGGCACGATTACGTGCGAGCCTACATCCATATGCCATCGATCGTAGGTTGTTGTGCTGTTGCACGGGTGTTGAGGATGTGCCTCGCATCGTTGTTCATCATTATGAGGACTTGAAGCTTCTTTTCCTCTTGAGGCACATGACATTGCTTTGAGCGTTCATCTTAGTCGTGAGAAAACCGGACTTATTGGTGGACTAAGTTGAACAAATGGGTAAGCACATATGTGCGTACGTGTAAAACGTTTCGACAGGTCAAACCTAGCACATGCGTTTGCACTGCTTGCTAGTTTGCCTGTACCCACAGTGTGTTAGAAGTCCACCAGTAAGGACTTTGTGTTTGGCCTACCGATGGATTCGGAAGGCCTCACTGGTATTCTGGTCTTAGTCGACCGTTTGATCAAGCCGGCTCATTTAGCGGCTGTGCCTGATTCCATCGATGGTCATGGTATAGCAAAGCTGTTTATCGACCGTGTGTGTTTTTCAACACGGTTTGCCTTTGGCAATTATCTTGAATCGCAATTATAGTTTCATTGGCAAGTTTTGGCCTTTCAGTTTCAAGAACCAGGTTAAACATATCCACATCGGATCATGCGCAGACCGATGGTCAAACTGAGCATGTCAACCGTTTTATTGGTGACATTTTGCGCAGTGTTTGTGCTGACACGCCTAGGCGCTGGAGCTCTATGCTCCCGGTGGATGAGTTTGCGTTAAACAACGCTGTTCATGTATCTACTAGCTTTGCTACATTCTACGTGAGCGGTTTCACTCACCCCCTCGTTCTGTTGAAGCTACCACTGCGTGGTTCTGGGCTTGTTGGGGGAGGAATAGCCGATCGGCTTGATGATATCAGCCCAACTTCTGTTCAGAAACATATGAGAGAGATCCTTGCTATGCGATTGAATGTCTTACTAAATGCACGTGACGCAATGGCTGCTATCCAGGACAAACAAAAGGAACAAGCTTATGCCAAAGACAGACCGTGTATTGAGAGTTATTAAGTTGGACACCTAGACTTACTTAACGCTACGAATCTGCCTGTCAAAGTGTTGTTAGCGGTCTATAGGACTAAGTTGCGTCCTCGCGTCATAGGGCCGTTTTCGGTTGTACCCAAGAAAGGTCTAGCATACACGCTTAACCACCTACGCATGATTCGAACACACCCAGTGTTTTACGTCGGCTTGCTTAATCGTTTTTTATTCGTCACTGTTGGATCACGAGGCGCTTGCGCCGAAGGATTTAAGGATGCCACAATTCGAAGTAACCTCAAAAGAAGATCCAGTTTTCCTCCAAGACGCGCCACGCGGTCACGCAGACCGTGCACCTCGTGCGTAAACTCGTCGACGTGCGTCGCGATTCACCGACCACCGCCTGCTCTCGTCGATGATTAAGGGGATCAACAGTATCATGTTAAACGAATCATGCTGCAACGTCTTCGTGAAGGTCAGTACCAGTACTTGGTACAGTGGTGAGGGTATCTGGAGTCGGAGAACTCATTGGAGTACGAAGTGTCACGGTGGCAGGATTGTCCGTATGCCGTTGACATTTCCAAATGTCGTCTTCAGGGTCAGTTGACCCATACTGCTTCCCACTAGTCGGTGTGGAGGTGGAGGGGGCTGCAGTTGCAGCAGGTGCACTGATGCGCGGTTCCGTAACTGCCACAGCATAGCGGGTGCGATAAAACGATCGCAGTTGGCCTTTGGCCTTTTGTTTTGCAAAAGCGTATCTTTTGTTCGAGCCAAACTTTAGCAAGTGAAGCGCTCTTTTAAAATTCCACCGGCTTGGCAGACGGCGAGATCGGTGGGCTGAACGCGTAAAGACGACACCATTTCCGCCTCCGTCTCAAAAGGGAGTAGAACTACTAGTACCACTCGCATGGTGGACACTGACACACCTCGTGCTTGCAAATTTAGCCTGTCAACGTACTCTTATGCAGTTGTACGATCAAACCTAAGTTTTTCGCTTTAATAGTCTCCCTCTCCGCTGGTGTTGTGGCTGTGAAAGCCTTGGGTTCCGTGATCCACGCTGCAAGTGAATGCCCGACAGTCTGGCGAATGCGTTCATCCACACTCGGTGGCTTAAAGCGGTAACCACTGTGATCACACGCTATGGCTACAATTTGTGCTGGGCGCCTGTGATCTTTGACAAACTACAGATTCTAAGTTTTGTCTTCATCAAGTGTAATGTGCAAACCACTCAAGGCAGGTTCGACGGCTGTGAGCTGTGCAACGGGTGAAGATGCTTCCTCGCATTTCACGAATAGATTAGGCGCGATGTGCGCGGTGTCACGCGCCGGTGGCATATCTGGATGATGGTCGTAAATATTCGACACGGCAGTGCCACTCTTAGAGTCCATTATACCTCCTTCGAGAAATTATTCCTGGATGTTGGACAAAGGCTGGACTCAGTCATTTTGAAATTTGTTGCAGCACGATGCTCAGGACCAGGGTTTTGAGCCTCAAAGAGCAAAAAGAGCAATAGAGGAATCGTCGAAACAAGAATTTCAATAGTTTGGTGGTTGAGGGTGTTACACGCGGTTGTTTGAACCGGTCATGTTGTGTGTTCACAACAAGTAATGATCAATGGATCTGAGTGGTACAGGCTTGGTACCATGTGCTTACGGTAATACCGCACCTTATCGGGTAAGGATAAGGGGTAAGACTTCTGTCATAGGACCGCAATGTAAAAGTCAGTCAGACGAGGTTTTAGGGTTTTATTACCATAGCTAAAAGAATAATTAATGTCCAGTTCCCTTTTTGATTTGTTGGACGCTAGTGCCTAGTCAAGGCATAGTGTTTTGTAAGAGTGTTAGCTTTGTGAAGGCGCTTGCTCATGTTTAATAAGAAGTGACTAGTTAGTGTGTGTTTATGTTAATCGTAATCCCTTTGGTACCGGGATTGTTAAGCCTGTACGCTTGAACGACAGTACGTAGAGTTAGTTTGTTAGAACTGAAAGACTCTTTGAGTCTAAGATTTCCTCTGATAAGAAGCACTAAGTAGATCCGCGACACCAAAACAAGCTAGTTTGGAGGTTGAAGGACAACGAACAGGACGTGTATGATCGAAACTCGTCTACTTACAAGGTAATGTGTACAAGATGTTGAAAGGGTCGTTCTCCAATGTTTACGTGCTGAGTGGGTGAAAGTTTTGAGGATAACTCCCGTGTGTACCCCCGTGTGTATGCAAACTGTCCTCGTCGAACTTTAAATTATACTGTTTGAAGATTTGCGTGGAGCCGAATGGTATTATCTGGCAGTTGCTTTAGGCGATGTCCACGCATTAAGGTAGACTTTAGCCAGAAAAGAACGATATCCTCGTACTTTGAGACGCTCGTAGATATAATAACATGCTCGGCTCTATCCACTACGTTTCGCTCGGTCCACGAATGTACAATAAAATGGCGGTGTAACGATTCCCATTGCAATTGAATTTCGTTTCGGCTGCCAGCGTCTTAATGTGATCAACGTTTTAGCAATTTCAGAAGCAGACAGTTTGGTCTTGGTGGAGCTTGGATATAGGCGCAGAGCACTAAGTGCCAAGATATGACCAGGCACGCATTGTTATCGCTAATTCATTCGCTAATTAAATGACTCCAACACGCTTTGCGTTAGGCAACAAAAGTAATTGCGAGTGGCGGTCTCCCATACAGCTCATATTTCTTACGACTACAGCCAATCATGTTATTGTCATTCTCAAAGTTTAGCTGCTTGGTCGCATGCGAAAGCATTTGCATACTTAAAATGCATCATGCCTGTCAGCTTGATTCGCACTTCGAAGGATACTGATGTATTGCTGCATGTTTTCATCTCGTGGTGGCTTGCGTGTCGAATAGGGAGAACCTAACCTATAATGCTGGATTTATCGGGCGTTTATGTACAATCAATGCAAGACTTGTTATCACTTTTCAAATTATAACAGTGTCGACTAAATCGCAACCCCTTATGATACCTGATGGAGGTCTGGGGCGTAAAAAGCAATCAGTGTTGGACCTTGCTCCTCCAGTTGCTGTGCTTGTGATCGGACGGTCTCTACGCCCCTAATACGCATTTTTAAAGATGCCAATTGATGCCATTCTTACCCCTTAGCAGCTTTGTAAAGCCTTGGAAGGGCTTTGCTCTCGATGGTAGTTATGACGACGTGGCAGTGGGTTGCGTAGCGTGAGACCAGAATCGACTATTTTCTGCTCGATTGCACTGTGTAAGGATGCTGGCAGGACCGTCGTTGGCTGTAGTAGCAATCTAAATGTGGATGGCTTGGAGTGGCAGAAGTAGATTCGGAAAGTGTATTGGGGTAGCCCAATACATGAAATCGACATTATACGGTGTCAATTGAAATTTTGTCTAGTATGACTATAATCTACCGATTTTATCCGAGATGGGTTTTATTGAAAGAAATTTATCCCTTTTTGGATTATATTTATCCGCTCAAGATTGGTTGATAAAATTTATCTTGGAGCATATCAACCATGGACATATCAACCATGGATTACCACCAATCGCTGCTAGACGCGCGCAATGAGCGGTGAGAAGGTTGTCGTCATACGACGGCGTAGTTTAATAGAGTTCATTAAAAAATAAAGCTATGTTGGTAGCTTAACTATATTCATCACAGTTCTCATTTAACCTTAACTCAACCTAGCTGTTGAGTAGAATAGCTTCCTCTGCACGTACTAGTGTACGTGAAATATTGTGGCACCCGAAGAAAGGGTAACCCGTTGCACCTGGTAGCACTTTGTAGTCTGTCCAACGGCTTCCTAGTGTCCGTCCAACATGAACATGTTGGACGTAGAAGACGACAGCTTTCAAGTCACACGTGAAGGCTGCTCCTATCTGAGTGACTCAGAATGGGAGGTAGTCGGCCGCACGAGTGTGCTCATGGGCGTACCCGCCATCAGTGGTGTATTGCAGTCTCGAAGCAAAGACCAGCAACATGCTGCTATCAACAAGTTCCTACAAGGGGAACTTGCCGTCGATAGACAGAAGGTAGCCTTGCTACAGCAGCGAGGCTCTCATCAACCGATGGGCGGACCGACGCACATGCGTCGACCCGAAAACTTGAAGATTGACATCTCAAGGTACAAGGAAACCGATGAAGATTCTCTTTTGAGATGGTTCGACGAGTTAGACACTGCCATCAGGGTTCGTCACATTAAGGGTGATGAAATTCAAGTCACCTTCGCCCTGTCAAATTTGACGGGACTAGCAAAGACGTGGGCATTAGGGCTCAAGCTTCACGACCTAAATGTGTTACAGTCGTTGGATATCTTGAAGTCTCGGCTCAAAGAGACGTGTGAGCCGCCGAGAGCCGAGTTCAGAGCACGCTATGCACTCTTGAGGCTAAAGCAAGGTAAGTGTGACGTGCACGCTTGCGCACATCACCTGCGCTACCTTGCTAGTAGCGTTACAAGGAACCCTATTGATGAGCATACGCTCATCAACGTGTTCATCTACGACCTTGTAGGTGGGCTGGTGAAGACCTACATGTTCCGAGAGCATTTCCGTACGCTGGAAAGGGCGATTAAGTATGCGGAACAAGAAGAATTAAGCCTGATACATCCTCAGACTAACTCGTCCAACTATCGTCCGACGAGGCGACAGGAAACAGGAGGTCCCGAACCGATGGACCTCTGTTACAACGAGAGCAAGAAATCTCGCTCTTTGAGTCACAAGCAAACGGCAAGATGCCACCGCTGTCAGAAGATTGGACACTACGCTCATGAGTGTAGTGTCCCGAGCACTGCGGCACGTCCGAAAACAGGACGTGATGACCGCTATCGGCCAAGGAAGGGTCCAAGGCGTGGGTCCAACCATGTCGCCAAGCCGCGACAGAAAGTCGGACCGTAAAAAAAACGGTCAGGTTCAGTAGGGGCGGAGCACCCTGATTCAGCATTGTCAAGAGAATTTGCAGGACTCTTGACGAAGATTGATCCCAACACGCAGTGGCTGTGTGTTACTGCCCCTAGTGATGAGGTGTTACTCAACACTTTTGAGATCGAAGTGGCAAGTGGAATGTCACTTCGTGCCCTTGTTGACTGTGGGGCGTCGAACGGCTTTATTTGACGCCAGTCGCTAGAAGATAGTAGACTCAACTATAATGAGCGAGAGTTCCCTCCAGTTAGGATGACGGTGTGCCTTGCTACAGGCGCATCCGTAACAGTGAACAAACGTGTAGTGGGAATCCACTACACGCTAAAAGGAAAGCAGTACGATGATGACTTCACCGTACTGGATGACAAATTGATGTCACCTTTGGTCTGCTATGCCTTCGAAAATGCCAGCCATGGGTTAGCTGACAGCATCGATCCGTGAAAATGCCTGTCTTTGTTCATCAGGTAGCCATCTGATGAACGTCTTGGAGCGTCCACAAGCGTGTGGATGTACTACGAGTGAGTGCGATGGCCTCTCTTGTGGTACATTCGTTACTGCACAAGATCACAGTGTAGAAGGCCACTACACTATGGAACCAGCTTCCGGCATCTGTGTAGAGGCACAGGCTGCGCCGAAGGTTCATTACTCGAAGATATCGAGTGGACTGGAACACGGATGCACTCCAAGAAGGGTGCATCCGAAAAGAGAGGTGAGTGCTGTTTAGAATGAACAACACACTGAAGCGAGATCAACTATCAGAAAGGCGATCGTAGAGCAAGCCCGATCGACTGAAAGAGAGTTAATCGAAGAGGACGTGACCGTGAAAGTACACGTAATGGAAGAAAAATCCGGCGTTCCTGAGAGCAATAACTCCCGAGAGATTTACGTTGAGGGTGTGGATCCCCAACCACCTGCGGATGTGTTTTCCCAGGATATCACCGATTCAGTTAATGTCTTAATGGATGAAGGATCAAGTGTAGGCGCTTAAAAACCTATTCTGGTGAATCCCTTAAAGTCAGCTTCGGAGCTGGTCAAGTTGCCAACGCTAAAGATCTATAATTTATTCTTGCGAAATCTGCGTAGTGACAAGATCAAGCAGATCTGCGTACCCGTCACAGAGGACGAGTGTGTCGCTGATATTTGGTCGGCACAAGTGTTTGCTGAGAACGAACGGGTTCTCAGTAGTTCATCTATGGACGAGAGTGTCCTTGATGAGAAGACCGGTGTTGAGCGATACACGTCTCAATCTTGGGAGTCTTTGTAGACAAATCCTTTGTATGAGGATTTGGTTTCGTTCAGGGATTTCCCGGAATCTGTGCCATGCGAGCTGCCCAAAGACAAAGGCATTCGGCATGAGATCGAACAGAAACCCGGTTCAAAATAGTGTGTCATGAAGCAGTGGCCACTGCCTCGTGAACGGGTTACAGCGATCGACAAATTCTTGCCGATCGATTAGCGGCTGGTCATGTGAGGGAATCAACATCCCCACACATCTCTCCGACCTTCTGTGTACGAAAGATTACAAACGGGTGGCGGATAGTGCACGCGTTCAACAAACTGAACGCTGCATCGGTACTGGCTCAAACGCCAATCCCAAGAAAGGATGTCATCAATGATGGTATGGCACAAGTACCACATTTTCATCCATGGATTTGATGGATGGATTCTATCAGATCCTCATGCGTGAACGGGATATCCCTTACACAGCAGTGAGAACCCCCAGTGGTATTCTCTGGGAGTATCTAGTGATGCCACAGGGGCTAAGTAACGCCCCCGCAACGTTTAACAGATGTGTTACGAATCTGTTGCGATCTGCGCGCGACTTTGCACCGAGTTACTTCGACGATGTCTTCGTCCATGGTCGGGCTATGGATGGAAAGACGGACGTGGAGGTTCATAGAATCCATGTCCGTAAGGTTCTTACGGTAATACGAGAGCATAAGTTGTTCGCGAACCTCAAAAAGTGTATATTCGCAGCGAACGAAATACTACTTCTTGGCTGCATCCTAGGTAAAAACGGTGTACGCCCTAATCCGGAAAAGGTCAAGGCGATTAGCGACTGGCCTGTGCCAGTCGACGTCAAGGGACTTCGAAAGTTACTTGGCTTGGCAACGTATTTGCACAAATTCTCGCGCAACTATGCCGAGATGACTGTACATCTCTCTCGTATATTACAGAAAAACGAGAGGCGATCATGGAGCGCTGAGTGTCAGCACGCTTTTAAAGGCATCAAGAAAAGCTTGGTGCAAGCGCCTGTGTTGGCGATTGCAAATCAGGGTAGGCCATTTCATGTGGTCTGTGACGCCAGCGATTTTGCAATCGGCTGCGCGTTAATGCAGAACAACTCAGACGGCGTTGAGCGCGTCGTCTGTTATCAATCGCGTCAGCTGCAAGCAGCTGAGCGAAATTATTCGGTTCACGACAAAGAACACCTTGCCATGAAATATGCACTGGCCAAGTTTCGGGTATATCTCTTAGGAGATAGGCCCTTCATTGTTCATACCGACCATGCGTCGTTACGCACGGCCGTAAACAGTCCGCACCTCTCGCAACGAATGGCGAGGTGGCTGTCTTTCTTGGCGGAGTACAACTTCTCCGTCGAGTATAAACCAGGACGACTCGATGTCGTCACTGATTCTCTTTCGCGTCGGCCTGATTTCGAGCCGACTGCTCAACCCAACAGTGGGGGTGATCCCACTGTCGCGACACTAACATTGAGTGTTTCGTCGTTGAATCTTCTCGACGACGTGCGAAATGCATACGCAGAAGATGAGTATCTTCTGAGATTGAGATATTATGTATCCAACCCGTGTAATCAAGCTTTGAAAAGCTTGTTGTCTCAATACCGCTCTTCAACCGAACGGTAATCTGTTCGTGATGGACTGCTGCACTATACAGCAGTCAACGGCGACACACCTCGTGTCGTCGTTCTGGCTCATGATGATCTACGATTGCGCATCATGTATGAGTGTCACGATGCCCCAACAAGTGGACATCGCGGTATAGAAAAGACTTACCTCATGGTGAGTCGTGATTTCTACTGGCCCCACTAGCATGAGTTTGTGCGGAAATACATTCGCGCTTGCGAAGTTTGTCAACGGGTGAAGCCTAGTCCTCCATCCCGCGCACCATTACAGCCTCTATCGATTCCGGCAGAGTGTTGGCAGTCCGTATCGATGGACTTCGTCGTCGGGTTTACCGAAAACCTTCATAAGAATTCGGGTATTCTTGTGTTTGCTGATCAGTTCAGCAAGATGGAACATCTTGTTACTGTACCGGAGTCAATCACAGCCCAGGGTTGTGCGCGTGTCTTTATCGACACTATCTTCCGACTTCAAGGGTTACCCCGTAAACTCGTGTCCGATAGGGACCCCCGCTTCACAGCGGAGTTCTGGCAATCCGTGTTCCATTCACTTGGAACACGTTTGACGATGTCAACTTCTGACCATCCCGACACAGATGATCAGCCGGAACGCGTCAACCGCGTCCTCAAAGAGATACTTCGAGGGTATTTCCACTCGTTTACGAGCTGGAGTGAGTTCTTGCCGATGGCGGAATTCGCCATAAACTCGGTGCACACGTCGACAAAGCATACACCATTCTTCGTAAATGGCCTACGCCATCCAAGTTTACCCGCCTTCTTAGAGTGTGACTCTAGTTAAAGGGGGGGAGAATCGCTCGAACAAAAACCGATCTGGTTCTTGCTCATCACCTGTCGACAATGGTGTCGACGTGATGGATTCCGATGTCGATGAGATCGATGTCGATGATGACGATGACGACGATGCTGGCGTATTCAGCATCGCCAATGACCGCCAAAGTGAGGACGATGATACGCTAACTGGTGAAGACAACATTCCTTAAGCAATGTACACGAAGCGAACTGCTGTTGGCAAGGATGAATCAGCAGAGGAAATTATGCTGACTCTCGAAGCGGGTGTCCGCTTCGTTCAAGACTCTACTGCAGATGCACTAGACAGACAGAAAATAAACACATACAAACATGGGAGAGCAAACATTCTTTCATTTGCTATAGGAGACCTAGTTTTACTGTCTACAGTAAACTTACCGAAACACGCAGTGACAAACGTGGGCGGCAGTAGATTACTGCCCAAGTACATCGGTCCATTTCGTGTGTTGCGCCGAATAGGCGACGCATACACGATTGAACTGCCCCGTAAGATGCGCACGCATCCTACAGTATACGTTGGTCGTCTCCATCCGTACTATCAATACGAGCCCGTTTCGAGATGCGAAGGAAACCTCCACGGTCGAGAGCCGAGACCCCCCTCGATTGGATCCGTTTCAACGAGCCAGTCTGGTCGACTAGCGAAGCAACCTGTTCACGCAGCTCAGCGATGTCTCGACGAGCAGCAGCCAGCTAATCACGAAGACAACGAGTCGAACGTTCGTTCTCAAGTAACGCAAACGCAAAAGCGGCACGATCGTCCGAATAATCGTGCGTTAGGAATTTGTAATCATCCCTCACAAGATCCTCAAGCCCATAACGCCGAGATCATTCTCGAGCCAGGTCATCTTGCAACTGTCCCGTTAAACGGTTCAGCTCTTGAGCATCAACCTGATCCACCCCTCGAGCAGGATCAGGTGTTCCATTTCCACCACATCCTTTGGTGGACTCAAGCATGTTCAACGCTTCCTAGTGGAGCGTATTTTGAACCACCGCGATGTGAATGGCGTCCGGACGAGTCACCTCGTCCGCTGGCGTGGCTATCTACCGGCGTGAAACAGCTGGAAGCCTCTCGCCCAGATGATTGTTGATGTCGTTGGTCTCGTCGAGCATTATGACGAGACCCACCCGCTGCGTTTGAAGAAGGGTCGTCGGAAAACGACCTCCTCGAACGCGAGTACAGGGATTGCAAAGTGTTGATCCCTTCGGCCATCTCGGAAGAGATTTGCGCCCTCCAGTAGGGATTATTAGGTAGGAAGGCCTCCCTAAGGGGCACGGTTCGAGAAGACCAGGCCACCTAGACACGATTCACCCCACAAGAGACAGGGTAATACGGCCTCTCTTGAAAGCCGGTGCAACTTGTATCGTGCCCCGAAGGAGTTGCGTTTCTCAAACCTGATGAGAGCTGCATCAAGTTTAGCGAGCCAAGCCTCACGGCCAATGCACTCGATGTTGTGGATGAGGGCATTCCATTCCTGCACCAAGGCTTTGCCGTCTCGTACACGGCCATCATTGTACACCGATGTTTAAAGAACGCATTGGTGAATAACTCTTCATCAGCACGGATAGTTTCCGTGATGGAATCAGGTGGGCAAATCTTCCTGCAATCGAACAACGGGATTCGATACCGTTCGGTAGTCGTGCCGGCTTACCGGTCCAACTCTCTGGATAACGGCATCCACGGAGACTCCACTTGGGGAGCGTGGCGCAACACATTTCGGTCCCTGGCCTCTTGATTGGTGCCAGCATGAGCACTGGCACCAGTATTACCCCAATCCTTTGAGTTGCTTCGCTCGTGGTGATGCATAGGTGCATCACAACCATCTCCACGCGTCCTGTCGTTGGATGGATTTGCGTAAGGCGGAGACTCATCGGAGTAATTACTCGATCCGAAGATCTCGGTCATGATGCTGCCGCGCTGACCAGAGCTATTCAGCCTGGCTCTTGCAGTGTCCGCCCCGGGTGATTCGGAGGCGTGAGGTGTCGCCTTCGGATCGGATGCACTATCCGACTCACCTGAATAGATGAGCTCTATCTCAGACTCGTCTGGATTACGGTTCGAGGTACCCGCTGCAGACGCAACGATTGTACCTGTCGCACGTGGTGACTCACCACGTGGAGGATTCACGACAACAGGCGATTCGTCGCCTGCTGCTGAGGCGTGAGAGGCACTTTCCACGGCCGCACGCATGCGTGCAGCCGTTCTTCTTGCTGTTGCAGTAGCAGCTCGCATGGTTTTCGAATGAATGCGTTGGATTGGAAAATGAATGGAATTTGACCAACAAGTGCTCCTTTTCCCAGAGTGATCCAGCTGTGGTCACCCTGTTCCAATCAGTTTGAATTCAATCAACGGGTGATTGATGGTTAGGAGGGGTGATGTAACGGGGTATCCCGTTAAACAAAATTGACACCAAACGGTTTCAATTAAAATTTTGTCCAGTATGACCATATTCTAACGATATTATCCGAGATGGATCTGCTTGAAGTAATATTATCCCCTTTTGGATAATATCCATTCGCTGCTCCAAGCTTGGTTGATATAAGACATATCAACCATGGATTACCACAAATCGCTGCTAGACGCGCGCAATGAGTGGTGAGCAGGTTGTCGTCATACGACGGCGTAGTTTAATGTAGTTCGATAAAGATTAAAGTTATATTTATAGCTCAACTAAATTAATTACAGTTCTCTTTTTACCTTTTCTTGACTGAGTCGTTCAAGTAGCTTGGCTTCCTCTGCACGTACTAGTGTACGTTAAGTTTCGCGGTACCCCGAACAAAGGGTGTCCGTTACAGAAAGGTAACCAAAAAAATTGCGCTTGCGTTGAATGCATAGCGGTGTATAAAATTTATGAGGATACTGTTAGACTTGGATTGCGCAAGTGGCTTGCTACGGGACGCTAAATCCACGTATTATCGTTACTTTTAAATTGTCTCCAGAAACAAGCGATAGCCAGCCTTCTAAGACATATGCCGACTATAATGTTCAGAAATGGGTCATGGACGAGGGACTTAAATCGAACAAGGAAGCTCTACATGCGTACAGCCCCAAGCACCTTGTTTAATGTAGATTAATTACTGATCTTTAAGTTTATTACATGCTCGTAATTTCTTCGACGCATTTGCAAAACGGGATAGAACAATTCTTAGTACGGATTAGCCCCCCCCCCAAAATCGTAGCGACAGAGTAATAGCTAGGGGAGACTTTTCAATACACTTGCAAATTTGCCCGAATACTGTTGACTAGGTACACCGTATGTATGCATTTTATGGATGCGTGTTTACTGGATATTGGTAATTGGGTGTGACGCACTTTCGTCATAACTTTAGGTTATTATATATGAGGTACAGCTGCACTGGCAAACTGATTACCAGAAGACTACCAGGTAGTGATAAGGACGTTAAGACGGCAATGTTTCTTGTACGATGGAAACACATCGAAGATACAAGACTTGTTGGATGTGCTATGATTTGCCCATCCTAAACTGTTCCAGCTATCCATTAGGCCTAATCATTTTATCGCCAACAGAGATTAAGCGACAGGCCACTTTTGCGAGCCTCAGTGATGGTGGCCACGATTAAAATCGACGTCATCACGTTCACCCCCGCCACCGTTCTTTTCTCCGTCACCGTAGTGATAGCGCGTAAGGCCAACTTGCCCACGACCATAAATAAGGCTTAAAAAAAAGGGCTTGCTCAGCATTGTGATAAATATATAATGAGTACTACGGCTTGCAGCACGCGCAGACAAATTCAAGCTCCAAAAGAAAGTGTACAGCATTAACTAAAAGTTGAAGGCTAGTCGCAGATACAATCCTCGCTCTTGGCAAGAATTTCATGCAAACAAGCAAAAATTGACCTTACTTGCTCATGCATAACTCGAAAGCGTCAAGTTTGCATAATCCCTGTATAGCAACTTCAGCCAAACGCACCTGGACGATCTTTGTATCGATAGACCTCTTTCCGCTTGTGCAGTGCTCCACCGGTACCGTGGAATTTTATTACACTAAAATGGTGGCCATTACTGCCTATGTTCAAGATGTCGACTTACACTTTCGTCGGGTGCTTGCACTTCAAGGCCTGACCCGGAGACCGAAGCAACCGCAACCTTTAGAGTGTTACGCTCTTGCGAGGTCATATGCCAGTCGTAACATTTCCCGTATCCAAAAAGCCCCGTAGTTATCTTGGCATCAGAGAGAAACACAGCTGCTGCATAGGATCCGAATGGCGAAGCCTGGGCTAATGGCGTACTTCTTGGCGGGGTCAACGGCGTCCTTCTGACTACCGAAGGGCCGTGCTAGTAGAACTTCATCGCATCTCCATGGTGGAAGAGCCGAAATGACATTATCAATATCAGTAGAAGCTGCCATGCCAGAGGAGGAAGGTGAAGACTTAACATCATAGTGAGAAAGATGAGGGCTTGTTGAAGAAGGATCGGTCGATACCCCATGGCCCGTCGCTTAACCCCTGATTGCAATACAATGATTCGGCCTAATGGATAGCCGGTAAAGTTTGGAACGGGGCAAAGCATAAAAAGGCAAATAGGCTCGTAGATTCAGGCAAAAATGTTAGCGTATTTCAAGTCTCCCAATTCAGTAGTTAGTCACCGGCTCGATTCAAATGAGCAGCTGCGTGAGCAAATCTCATTATCAGGACCACAAATGTCCCAAAAGCAGGACTATAGTTTAAACAAGTCTAAAATTGATAGATACTTAATGTTAGCCACATTATACTCAGCTGCAACATGGGATATGAAACTGCCTGATTACTAATGAGTCTATCCATTTTTTTGACCACTGTCGCGAGTGGTCAAAAAGCGCACTTTTTTTTACCAACGGTTCGTCTACTTCTCAATTTGCGCCCACGAGCCGATGTGCCCATTTAGGTTTTGGCATATTGCGTGCGAGCCAGGGCCCGGTCGCACGCACCCGACGAGCTCGTGACCGGGAGACTTCGTTATTACACCTTGCACTGTCGATTTTGATTATATCAGTAATTCTTTATGTACGCGGTTGCAGCAACGCCAGTTCGAAAGGTTTTACAATACGTCAGGTCAGTAGTACCGTGATTGGTGTCAATTTCGATTGCTGCAGTCACTCGAGACATCTCAAAGACATCTTTCAGTCCACTTCTTGCGCTTACGCTTAAACGCTCAAACTAATCATTCAAAATAAACAGAATGAGGTAGTGAACAATTTTTTTTTAATGATTATTGCTTTTTAGACCAGTACTAATCTCTATAATATACATAACGCAAGAATTACACTTGTCTATATATTTCGCCCTTGTCAGTCAAACAAACTCCTCGCACTGCAACATATCCACACGGACATAGGACACAATCGCTAAGCAGGACACTCGACATTACTTGAATCCACTCGACGCCGCTCTATTTCACTGGACGCCACCTTACATCACTGGACATTACTCGACATCACTTGTAACCACTCGACATCACTCGTCACGACTTTTTACCACTCGAAATCACTCGACATCACTTGAAACGCACTGCAACACATACATACAGACAAAGCATGCGATCGTTATACAGCACAGTCGACATCGACAGCATAATAACCTGCTACCGCTGCTCATGAGAGTTGATTCAATAACGGAGTTTACCAGTCACGAGCTCGTCAGGTGCGTGTGACCGGGCCCTGGCTCGCACGCAATGTGCCCAGACCTAAATGGGCACATCGGCTCGTGGGCGCAAATTGAGAAGTAAACGAACCGTTGGTAAAAAAAGTGCGCTTTTTGACCACTCGCGACAGTGGTCAAAAAAATGGATAGACTCATTAGTGATCAGGCAGTTTCATATCCCATGTTGCAGTTGAGTATAATGTGGCTAACACTATGCTTGTTTGCATACTCAACCCAAGTAAAAAAAAAGATAGCTTTAGACTTGCTTAAACTATAGTCCTGCTTTTGGGACTTTTGGACATTTGTGGTCCTGATAATGAGATTTGCTCCAGCTGCGTTCGCGTGAAACACGTGAACCTCGAAAGGAGACTCGAACCGAATTGCATCAATGTATTCAAGGTCAGAGTGCCAATTTTCATAAAATCTAGAACGGGAATGGTGACTGGCCAGGCCTTCCCAGCTGTCGAGTTGCTTCCAGCAGTTCTATTGACGTGACGTCTCAAGTGCATCTAGTATGTTTAAGAAAAGTCAGTGCGATGTATACAGGTTATGCTACATGCCAAGAAACAAGCATGAAATGATTTTTACTAAACACGTACTCACCATACTGCTTCTATCTGCGTCCGTCATTGCTAGTCCGTGTATCGAGAAGCCGTTGTAGCACATGTACCGGCAGAAGGAGGCCCACGAGAGCTAGCACGCTTGACGTAAATAATCATTCTAGGGGTGCTAAACGATACTACGAAAAGCTTGTACACAATGCAACGAGGCGCAATGTCCAGGTGGCATGTTCAGATGCTGCCATGAGGTGAATAAGGTAGACCACGACAATGCGTATCCGCAGCTCACTTTGCTGCCGACTCTGATGCATCGCACGGTGTTATGTGGCGTTCTACAGCTAAAAACTTGACTGACTGCCTTCGAGACAAGATTCTGTTCGACTGAAGAAGGTCCGATGATGCTCGCTGCAAAGATAACAGTAGCACTGAAATAGCAAAACGTCTATGGGTCGGAGACCACATTGGTTCTTGCTGGGATGAATTGTTCACGAGCCTTTGTTGTCCAGGCTGCCAATTTATACTTGTGTTACGATAATGAAGTTCGACTGTCATGCATCTCGTGTGTTAACTTCCTGATGGATACCTGTGATATGAATGACCGTGGTCTCTTGGGCACCAGCGAACCACATGGATATGGCAGACGCCATAGTAAGTCAACCGCACCAGCGAAGACTCGCATATGCGCAGTGGCTGTTGCATACCATCGCAAAAATTGCAAAACAGCTCCGCCATTTTGCGAAGAAATGCTTGGTAGCCTCGCCTTGTATGACGCCTGTTGTTTGAAGAAGTCAATTGTGCTCTACGGGGGGCTGTCACATGTCCACCTAACTTCAGTGTTGACATACCGTGGCGCTACGTGTCGTCGCCGAGTTAAACAGGGTACGGATATGGTCGCTATGAGCGTCTCCAGCTGGGATCGGGTCGCATTATCGCATGCGACTTCATCCGGACTACTCCATCTTGACGTGTTGTTCTTTGCGATCTTGTGGGCTCTGCTGAACGAGTGCACATTGAGATTGTGCTGTACCTCTCT